GGTATATATCTGGAAAAGACAAAAACTCTAATTCAAAAAACTACATGGACCCCAGTGTTCATAGCAGCACTATTTACAACAGCCAACATACGGAAACAACCCAAATGCCTATCAACAGACGACTGGTTTAAGAAGGTGTGGTACACACACAGGAATACTTCTCAGTCATAAAAAAGAATGAGATATTTCCATTTGCAGCAACTTCAATGGAACCAGAGATTATTATATTTAATAAGTCAGACAGAAAAAGACAAATATTATACGATATCACTTACATGTACAATCCAAAAAAGCAATACAAATGAATCTATATGCAAAACAAAAACAGATTCACAGACACAGAAAACAAACTTTTGGTTACCAAAGGGGAACGAGAGGGAGGATAAATTAGGAATATGGGATTAACAGATACAAACTACTATGCATAAAATAGATAAGCAACAAGAAGTTATAAAACACAAAGAACAAAATTCAGTATTGTTCAATATTTTATATATATACATATATATACACAAACACATATATATATCTGAATCATTTTGCTCCAAACCTGAAACTAATACAATATTATAAATCAACTATATTTAAATTTAGAAAAAGAAAGAAACTCTAATTTATGGAAGAGAGCAACTAGAGATTGAATCAATCACCAATGGCCGATGACTCAATCAATCGTGGTTATGTAATAAAGCCTCCTGAAAAACAAAAAAGGAGGGGATTCTGAGAGCTTCCCTGCTAGGGAAGCAGCTTCTATGTGCTACTGTGCTAGACCCCAAGCTACACAAGGACAGATGCTCCTCTTTTCGGGGACCTATATATCCCTTCATCTGGTTGTTGATTCATATCCTTTAATATCTGCTGTAATAAATCTGTAAATTAATGAGTAAATGGGTTTTCCTGAGTTCTGTGAGCCATTCTAGCAAATTAATTGAACCCAAGGAAGTGGTCATGGGATCCTCTTGTTTCTAGCTGGTTGATCAGAAATACTGGTAACAACCTAGGCTTGTGACTGGCACCTGAAGTAGAGATCAGCTTTGTTAGGATTGAGCCCTTTATCCTCTGGGATCTGATTCTATCTCCTAGTAGATAGTGTCAGAAATAAGGCACCAGCAGGCTAAGAATTAATTGACTGTTGGTGAGGGGAGGCCTACACACACACACACTGGAATTGGGTCCAGGAGCCCTTTCACAAGGCTACTCGGATTTACCATTGTTGTTATGCTTTTTTCCCTCCCTTTCAAGGAATTTGTCCATTTTCTTGGAGTTACTGGAGTTATTATGGACATGAAACTGTTCATCAAATTCCCTTTTTCTTCTAACATCTATAGGATTGGTACTGATATTTCCACTTTCAAAGAATCAAATACTGGTTTTATTGCTTTTTAACCTATTACCATATTTGTTTTCTATTTCACTGATTTCAACTCTATTTTTTTGCTTTTGTGTACTCTGGGTTTATTTGTTCTTTTTCTAGCTTCCTAAGATTGTAGTTTAGATTACTATGATATGGAATTTTTTTTGAGAGAGTAGAAAATGAATTTATTAGGTTATGCTGCCATTGACAATAGCATGCCACACAGACGAGAGGTGCCTGTGTGAGCTGATACTGGATTATATATAAACAACATTGGCAATGAGCTGATAATTGTTAAAGGTGGGCAGTAGGTACGTGAAGTGTTATTTCATCCTACTATTCTTTAAAGTTATGTATATGTTTGATATTTTACATAATACTTTTAAAAATTACATCAAGCAAGTAAACCTAAATCCACAGTTAAAAAAAAAAAAGATTGTTTTGGCTATTTAAGGGTCCCCTGAAATTCCATATAAATTTTAGGATGAATTTTTCTATTTCTGCAAAAACCATTGTTGGATTTTTGTAAGAACTGCACTGAATTTGTAGATCACTTTGGGTATTACTATCTTAAACTAGTAAGTCTTCTAATCCATAAAAACAAATATTTTTAATTTACTTGTGCCTTCCTTAACTTATTTTATAATTTTTAATGTACTACTTTCACTTCCTTAATTTATTCCTAAGTATTTTATTCTTTTTTGATGCTATTGTAAATGAAACTATTTTCATTTCCTATTCATATTTTTCATTATTATAGTACAGACACAACTCAGTTTTCCATGTTGATCTTGTTCCCTGCTACTTTGCTGAATTTATTAACTCTTTTTTTTTTTGGCGGAAACTTTAGGGTTTTCCACATATAACATGTTGTCTATGAAGAGATATAATTTTAATTATTCCTTTCCAATTTGGATGTTTATTTGTTTGTATTGCTTATTTGTTCTTATAGTGTTCCAACACTATAATGAACAGAAGTGACAAAAGTAGGTACAATTATTCCCCATTTCTTGAAAGTTCACTTTCTGCTACTTTGCTTTTATGGAAGACCTACATTAATATCTGTTTTCAATAACCAAAGAAATCAACAGATTTTTGCTTTCACAAAAAAAGGTAAAAAGCAAAAATAGCATGCAGCACTGGCTTGGCAGTAAGCTGTTACAAAGGCAGCATGCACCCTGAGCAGTGAGAGTCGCACAACCAAGCTCCTTCCCTGGGAAACTACACTGAACATATCAATGTCAAGTCACCATGGCTTTAAACTGTGTCTGCAAAGCACCTGTGCTTTATCTTGATTTATTTTGTGATTCCATTAGCAAGATGTATCCTAAGGGAATTGCTTCTTTGCTTCATGCTACTTGAGCTTACCAAAGATTTCACAGAAAACTCTACTTTTGGATAGTAGGGGAAAACTGTATCCTTGCTGTCTTTAAAGCTTTCAGTCTTTAACCACTAAGAATGATGCTAGCTGTGGACTTTTTATATATGGCCCTTAATATGTTGACACAGTTTTCTTCTATTCCAAATTAAAAGATTACTCAAATTTGCTCATTAAACAAATACTAATATTGAAAGTATTATAGCTAACTTAATTTGTACACAGTAATTTTAATACTGGTTTTGTTAATTTTAAGTACCAAAATACTATTTTGTTGAAATGATACCATTATTTCAGTGTAAGTTAATACAAGTACTTGTATCCCACTGCAGAAACTAAAGATCTAGTTTTATCTGAAACAAAACTACCTCCACACTAACAATAAAAAGACAGAAAAACAGACAAAAAGATTCAAAGATCCTCTCAAAGATATCAAAAAGAGATGGGACTGCCTGAAAGATGAAAAAAGCTTTAGGGAAAAAAAAAATTTTTTTTTGATTTTAAGCTTTTTTTATGGGGGGGTGGGAAGGCAATTCGGTTTGTTTGTTTGTTTGTTTGTTTGTTTGTTTGTTTAATGGAGGTACTGGGGATTGAACCAAGGACCTCATTCATCCTAAGCAGGCACTCTACCACTGAGCTATACCCTGCCCTCAGGAAAAATTTAGAATTAGTTTGTCTTGCCTCCATTCTCTCGATTATTTCAGAAAAAGCTCATTTAACATCTCTAAGTTTTTGCACAAAAATATACCCATTACTTCATGATACCACTTAACCATGTTTTCTTAAAGGCAGTGCGGTAGAAAGTAGGAAGATTGGTCAAGTAAGGTCTCACTAACGAATAAAGCAACATTCAGGCTAAGACCTAGAAAATGAAAAACCAGCCATTCAAATCGTGTGTGTGTGTATGTGTTTAAGACCAGTGTAAAGAAAGACTTTAAAGCAGACAAGTGTGTTGGCATATCTGATGACTCTGAAGACCAGTGTGACTGCAGCTAGTCAAGAAATCAGAAAAATTGATCGGGATTGGGGTTGGAGAAATAGGCAGGGATGTGATCCTACTGATCAAAAAAGGAGGAGGGTCCAGGTTGGAGGAAAGTAATTATATTACTTTGGCTATAGTACAAGATTAATGAAAAATATATTTGCACACCACCCTCATGCATAAAATCTTAATCTAATTCTTACTACATGGTAAGAGAAACAATGTTTCCCTTTAATAGATGAAGGAATAATAGGCTCAGAAGGGCTAAAGGCCTTAAGCTAAATCACAAATCCCAGACATTCTAACCCAAGTCAAACCAGTATCCTTTCTATTACACAGTAAGAAACAATGAGAAATAACATGAGAAAGACAAACCGCATTGAAAAGTCAGGCTAGGGAATATGGGCTCTATTATGAGAGAAAAAAACACCTAACAGAAGTGATGTCAATGAAACAGATGATTCTGATGATCTCCATGGGTCATACAGAATACTTTCAAACAGAGGTTCCTTCATACAGAATGGTTACCATATATATTATCTATGTTTCCCAGAAGAGTAAGATGGTGGATGGGTGTAGTTGGGGACAGGAGGATGATAAGTACCGTGTTCAGTCAGGACATACCTTAATCTGTTTTATATTAGATTTACTTGAAAAAAAATTCTGCTCTATGAAAACCACCAATTATAAAGGAGTCAATCTTGTTTTCAAAATCTTACTTTGAAGATCTAAACTCTACTGGAGGTAGAGTATTTCATATACCCTATGATAACCACTTTAAAAAGCGCACTAATTTCTTTTCAGCTTTTTTGCTAAAAGTCAACCACATACCACTACGATTTATTAAAGGCAATTTCAGGTTAAGATTTTTGCCTCCACACTTTCAGAAATAACACATACGCCTACTATAAAGTTTCCTTCTATGTTAAGACATCGTAACATTTAAAATGTAAGGTAAGTATATTCTAATACTACTATATAAACTATTTCTCAATTATTAAAAAGTGAAAACTAAAAATCATGCACTGATGTCCAAAAAAAAACAACTAGTACTAGTGAATAATACCAGTAAGTATGCTTTGATGTTTATCTAGGTGACTTAGAAACCACGAAAGCAAAACATATAAAATAATTCTTCAACTCAACTACATTTAAATATGGAGTTTGATATTAAGGCAATAGTTTAATGTACCTACTAATTACTCAAATGGTCAATATCTATATCAAAATCTACAAGTTAGCAACATCATGATGACACAAAATAGGTTATGTAAATATACACATACCTTTATCCTTCTTAAAATCCAAAGCATCTTCTTTATCAGTCACTATTTCCTTCATATTGATAATACTCTGGTGGGTAAGCTGCCGGAGAATTTTAATTTCTCGAATTGCTGTGATTGGAAAGCCTTCCTTTTCATTATCTAGACGTACTTTTTTTAAGGCTACCATTTCTCCTATTAGAAAATTAAATAAAAATCAGATTACCAGCTAATGAAACCAAGTAACATTTTAAATTTATTTTAATTGATAACTTCTGTTCCTACCTCTTGAAATTACAACTCACAAAATATATTTTAGTTTTCAATATACCAAATTATAATGTTTATGGTTCAAGAAGTCTCTTGTTAAATGAATTATGGAATATTTATCAAACTACGCAACACTATACAACTATTTAAAAAGATAGAATAGGTCTATATGCATTGTTATTTTATGCTTGCTAAGCTATGTGAAATGAAAAAAACAAGAAAATGAAGAGTAGACATATTACACTACTGTTTTTTTAAATGAAAAGGGAAGTATAAATATACCTAATATGCTTATACATGCATAAAATATCTCTGAACAGATGAGAAAACTCTGGACACTGTGCAGGTGAGAAAATATGCTCAGTTATATTAAGCTGTCCAAAGATGCCCAGCTACCCAATTGAGAAACTGGGATTCAAAATCTGGTTAAGCTGTTTCTAAAGTATATACTCTTCCCACTACACTAAATGGCCTCATAATTTATGTATGAGTGAGTTTTGTATCAGATAATCTAAATATTAAAACACACATACAGAAATCCTATTATAAGAAAAAATCCACTATAATAAAGGTTTGTTCATTCCACTTCAATGGAGGAAAAAAAAGAAATTCCGTACTTACAAATTTTCCAAAAGAAGGACGTTTTTCCTTTTAATCATTTAAACTTATTTGATTATTTTTAATAGAAATCTACAATGCAGTATGGTTCCTTATTTTATAATTTAATCTTTTTGATAATGCAGAATCATCATTACGTTATTACTGTATGCTATAACTGCTTTCAGGAGTTTCTAAGCAGACAGCAGTCTCCCTTATACTAAGTGGCCTCAAACAGCTATGCTATTTTATCTCTTGGATTATTTCAACAAGGAATTATAAATTAAGATTAAACACTGACTGTACACTTAGTAAAATACATGGCCTCTGACAGTTTTAACTCTGCTCTAAGGTCTTCTAAATCTTTCTCTCAGGTGACTGATTATCTGATTATGATCTGAAAGGGTAATTTCTAAAGAAAAAAAAAATTTGGCCAAAATAAAAGTGGCACAGAAATCTAATACAACAAAATTTACTAAAGTCAAGATACTTCCCTCCTGACTACTAACAACGTAAAAATTTACTCACAACAAAAGAAAAGAAACCTAAATCCCCCATACTACACATCACACATACTAAAGAAACACTTTAAAAAAACAAATATGTATATATACCCTCTTGTATGTACTCATATCTTACGTTAAGTGCATATATAAAATGAAATAAAAAACAAGATGAAACGATAGCATAAATTCGAATTTACTTTTTCTCCTGAAAATTCCTCAATTTATGCATTAGAAGAGAAACACAAATAAGTACATTTCACAGGCCCAAAGATCAAAAGCATTTGGCATTCTTACCAGTGTCTTTATCCCTGGCCTTGTAAACTTGTCCATAGGTACCTTCTCCAATAATTCCGATGATATCAAATTTATCCACGCAGCGTTTTCCCCAGTCAATATCTTTTTCTTTGATTTCACCATAGCGAGGCCCACATATTCTATCAAATATAGTTCTGAAGTTTTTATATACAATCAAGCAAACTGAATAAACTGTTTCATACTCAATATCCACCCTCCACCAAATCTTATATCCTTTATTTCCCCTCACCCTTGCTCATTTGCGATTATCTAAGACAAGTAACACTGTATGTTAGTATTATAAATTATCATTAAAGTACTTCTCCATACTAACTCTTCTTCTGTAGATTAACACTAAAAGTGAGAAAGAGAAGAAGCAAAGCTTGTTATGAGGGATTTTCAGAAATAAAATGTAATTTTTCAGTGAGTGGATAAAACCAACACTAGTATAAAGAGTCCAAGTTCTCTAACCTACCCCTAGAAAGTTTTGTATTCACTGACAATACATATATATCTTTCAAAAATCAAAAGGTTAATAATAAGCATTACCAAAAATCTAACTATAAAACCTAATGACAAATTTAGATTTAAGACTAGATAAAATTATCTTAAAAATAGAAACATCAGAAAGATTTTCAGTCTAAGAGAGTATAAAAATATTAATATAATCAATCCTTAGGAATCCACACTTTAAGTGTATTATGTATATGATAAATATTTGACATTCTTCAAAAAGATATGTAATTTTGTAGTATTTTAACATTCTGGTATGTAATAGAAATTTAAGGACTAAAGCTACAATACTCAAGGAGAGACTATTTTAAGTTTTCTAGTTTTCTACTCCACACTAGAAAACCACCTTGTATTCTTCTTGTTTTTAATTTCTTTCTTTTTCATTATTATTTTCTTAATGGAGGTACTGGGGATTGAACCCAGGACCTTATGCAGGCCAAGCAGCACTCTACCACTGAGCTATACCCTCCCCCTCACCTCATATTCTTACATTACTGCACTACTTACATTATTGCACTACTTGTACAGCAATTCTAAAATAAGATCTAACTAAAAGTCTTACTTACACTTTCCTTTGGTTAAGTAGAACTTTAAAATAAAAAAAAGATCAACATTCTCCCCTCTTAACTGATGAACACGTTTCAAGGGAAAGAGACATCTCTAGGCACTTACTTGAAGCTAATTTAGGATACAGATTTCAAATTCAAACCTTCTTCCACTCCACCTCTTGCAAGATGAAGAATGAATTTAGTTATGGGAACAAATGGAGCTAAAAGCAAAGGAAAACACAGCAGCTTGCCCATTGCTAATTTTGTTTGGGCTCACCTAATGCTGATTTCTGCCTTGTCCAAATTCAGTATTTCTGTATTATTTAATTATCTTAATTATAGAAATTTTCTTTAACACATACAATACCCCCAAGAAATTAATAACATTACAAACTGAGACAGAAAATTATATCTGGTTTTATTAGTCATTTTGAATAGGTACTCAGGCAATTATGAGAAATTTTTTTTCAAAACTCTAATAGAATTTATTCATATACTTAAGTTGAAAGAATAAACACACTTTTTATTATTTTAAATCTTAATTTTGTATTTTATAATGATCCAAAATCATCTCTGGCCAATTTAAGAGCAGGTAAAAAGCAAGCACATACTTAGGCCTCCTTTTACTATGTAACTGTGTTGTTGTTTTCTTTTCCTCTGGACTCTTTGAGAGATCATCTCCTCCTGGCAGCTCAGGGGGCAGTGGTAAATCAGCAAGTAGGCATCGTAGTTTCTTTTCTACTTCTTTTTTAACCGCTTTTACCGAAATATTTCCTCGTAAGCTAAAAACAAAGGAGTCAGACCAAAAAAAAGTTTATTTCAATGAGAAATTAAAATGCAGTTATGTCTTACATTTAAGTAACAAGCGAAGGCAAAAGACAAAGTTGAGTTTCTTTACTTTCCAGCCAAAATAGTATACTATATTCAACTGAAAAATATAAAATTTGGGAGTGAAAGTGATACAGAATAAGACAAAAACTAAGGAAATCTGAACAAAGTACAGACTTTAGTTACTAACAATGTATCAGCATTGGTTCATTAATTGTAAAAAAAAAAAATTACCATACTAATAATATTAGATGTTAATAAAGAAGAAACTGAATGCAGGATATATGAGGACCCTCTGTAATACTGCAATTTTTTTGTAAATCTGAAACTGTTCTAAAAAAAAGTTTATTTTTAAAAAGATATAAAATTACTATAGAATTGTAAATTAAAACTGAAAGTCAACTAGTCATGCATTATAGGAGAATTCATTAATTTTACACTACAGCATTTGGTTTGATTCCGGTAGAGAGACAAAAAATTGCTCTGTTGTAAGAAATAAATAAAACAACATGCTGTAGAATAAACTGATGCCATTTGCAACAACATGGATGGACCTGGAGATCGTCATTCTAAGTAAAGCAAGCTAGAAAGAAAAAGAAAAATACCATATATCACTCATATTTGGATTCTAAAAAAGAAAAAAGAAGACACAAATGAACTCATCTACAATACAGAAACAGACTTGCAGACACAGTAAACAATTTTATGGTTGCCGATCGGGGGAAAAGGGGCTGAGAAGGGATAAATTTGGGAGTTTGAGATTTACAAACATTAACCACTATATATAAAAATCGATTTTAAAAAATTTCTGTAAAGCATAAGGAACTATATTCAATATCTTATAATAATCTTTAAGAAAAAAGAACATGAAAATGAATATATATATATTATATACATGACTGGGACTTTATGGTGTACATCAGAAATTGACACATTGTAACATTATACTTCAATTTCAAAAATACATGCTATTATTTATCTTGCCCATTTAAATAATCACAAAAGACTAATTTAGCTTCATCCCTTTTTAGAAATCATTTTTCCTTAACTAGACAATGATTAGATTCTCTAAAATTTTTTTAAAGACTCCAGCTTATTGGAATTATAGGTGAAATTTAAGCTTATTTAGTTCTTTACTTTTTAATGAATGAAGAACTCAGGTTCTTAAAGTATATATACCTTAACTTGGTAACTGATTATTTTAAACCTCCCAGACATTACAAAATCTGTTAAATAATATGACATTTTGAATTTTATAATTTTTTGATAACAAAATTTGGACTTCACGTACTTTCATAACAGTTATGAGTCCCACAATAAAAAAGATTAGTGAGACTACACTGCTGTGGTCAGAAATTACTAATGATGCTATCAATGTAAATCATTTCATTTTAATTATAACTTCCACTCATGCTGAATATTAATGTTATTATACAACAAATGGATTAATCTTTAATATCATCTGATAAAAACTACTTATCAATAAATTTGTGACTTTTCTTCATAATCCCATGGTACTCACTAGAAGATAAGCTTTAACAGGAAAAACAAGCTCAAAAGGAAACTGGTTTACAGTTTTATTTTTAAAGTAATAGTGTCATATAGCCCCCTTTCCAATGTTCCTCCATTCAACAAATTTTGACTGTATACATCTATGTGCTAGGTATTATGTAAGTCACTGGAGTTAAACAACAAAAAAAATTAACAAATACATTAAAATACAGTTCCTCTCCAAGAAGAGCCCACAGTCTTCTGGAAGACAGTTAGGTAAGGAGCAGGATAAAGTACTATACAGACTGATTTCCAGAGTGACATGGTACTAAAGGGTACCTAACTCAGGACTGAAAGACAGTAAAAGCTTCTTTCTAGAAAAGGTACGACTTGAACTCTGTCTGAAAATAATCCCATTTAAAATAATTTATTTAGAAAACTGTAGGCTCTAACTTATAATTAGGCTTCAGTCAAAAATTCACATTTATCTGACACTTCAAATCAACATGAGAGTGGACTAGAAGTCTTTTTTTTTTTAAATAAATACGTAGCATAGAGCTGGAGGGAGGAGAGATTTAATACAGACTCCACACCTTCTGGAATTTTTTTTTTATTGAGTTATAGTCAGTTTACAATGTGTCAATTTCTAGTGGATAGCACAATTTTTCAGTCATACATGAATATACACATATTCATTTTCATATTCTTTTTCACCATGAGCTACTACAAGATCTTGAATATATTTACCTGTACTATACAGTATAAACTTGTTTATCTATTCTATATATACCTGTCAGTATCTACTAAAGGTCTTAATTTTACTTATAATTTATAATTTAAAATTTAAAAGACTGCTTATATTCAAATATATCATTATATGAATTATCACATACAGCAAGACCCCCAGACTTAAGAGAAATGAAATATTAATTTCTAATAATAATACCATATAATTAAAAATATTGTATTTTCACTGATTACTTAAAAAAACCAAACAGGAAATGCGATATAATTTTTTTTGATTTCCATATACTACAGCAACAAAAAACAATAAAATGGCTTAAGAAATATGTAAGATCAATAGAAGAAAATTCAAACATTTGACTTACGAACATAAAACCAGATCAGAATGAATGAAACTATGTTTTCATCTGAGAAACTGTAATACTGTAAAGCTGTCAGTCTCCAAATTCATGATTATGTTTAATCAAGTTCCAGACAAAAATCAAGCAAGAGGTTTTAAAACACAACTGGACAAGCTGAATGACTATAAAATTTGTCTAAGAATAAAGGCAAAAAATGCCAACAGTGGGCCCAAATTCATTTATAGTAGCATCAAAGTTGAGGCTTAATGGCCAGGCTATTCACTGATCAGTAATTTACTCCATCCCTTTACTTTTATATGACCTGCCTACCCCTATAACAGAAATTTGAATTTGAGAGCCAATATACCATGCATCTAAAGAAGTTTAAAAAGGGGGGGGGGTACTGACAAAGGAATAAAACATGTTAACAGAAAAGAGTCCAGAAACATGTATGTATCTGTAACAATTTTAAATAATGGCACCACAAATCGGTGAGATAGATTAGTTTCAATAAATTCTATTAGTAACAACTAGTCCACAGGATGATGGGATAATCAGATCATTTCTTTCTTCTTCATATAATAACCAAAACCAAATTTCTGTGAGATGAGTTAACCTTTAAAAACTTTATCAATCCCTAAGTTTTAAAGGAAAAAATCACAGATCTGATTACATTAAAATGGAAAGCACCCATATAGTCAAAAACAAATAAGTGTCAAAGACAAGTAACAGACTCTGAGAGGCACAAGTCAAGATCCCTAGCATAAGGAATACCTACAAATCAATCAGAAAAAGAATAATAATCTTAAGGAAAAGCCAGCATAAGATATGAACAAGCAATCCATTGAAAAAAATAGACAGCCAACGTATGTTCAGAAAGATGCTACATCTCAATAATCATAAAAATGCAAAGTTAATCACATATTTTGAAGATTGGCAAAATTTCAAAATTGGCAATACTTAAGTGTTGTTGAAGCAATTTCATACATTTGGGTGCATAAATTGGTACATAGTCTTATTAAGACACAATTTGGCAGTTTCTATCAAATTTTTAAATGATATTTTGACCTGGCCACTATCCTACAAAAACTGCTCATATGTGCATAATATACAAAGTATTAAGGAGAGTTTAATAGCAAACAATTATAAATCTAAGTATCCATTAACAGCAGATTAGTTAATAAGAGAGTGATGAATCCACCCCTACGGACAGGAATACTGAACCTATCTCTGCCATCATGGAAAAATCTCCAACATACTAAATTTTTTTTTAAAAAGTCGAGGAATATTATGCATGGTATGATCCTAATTTTTTAAAGAAAATGATTTATTACATGAAAACTTATAAACAGTCTATCTTATGATTTTTGGAGAGTAATGGATTCCAGGACTGGGAGAGAAGCAAAGTTCAATGTGAGCTTAAAAGATACAGTCTGGCTAGGAAGCAAGAAAGCACTCAAATAAACAGGATCGTTTCAAAAGGGCAAAGGAGTTAGCTTAAAGGAGTTCCCACTGGCCAAATATCAGATAGTCCAGATAGTCAAATTTGGAGCATCAAAAAGAAGAGTGGCTGTAACTGGTACTGAATCAATCTTTGGCCACATGTATCAACAGTAGTACTCAGGAGTTCTTAAAAAATTTCTACATCCTTGAAACATACAAACACATTTAAAGCAAAAAGGGTAGAAACACAACAAAAGAGAAAAGGAGAAAAGACAGAAAAGAAAGTGAGTCCAAAAAAATTCTTAATGATCAAGTAGGAAATGTGCCACCATCTTATTAAAAGCAGATGCACAAAGAATATCCTCCATAAACAGTCACTTGGGTACCTCTTGAGCTCTTAAAAACATCACCAGTAAAAATTTACCCCTAAAGCATATGTGAAGAATAAAGTAGAGAACAATCAGTCTCACTGGTCCAGAATCACTAAATTCTCGGCACTTGGGTTATTTTTCACTAAGTGGCTCAATTCTGGACTCATGGCTCTCTGTGCTGGACAGTCTATTCCAGTACTCTTCAAAATCACAAATCACTATTGCTATGAACCCTCAGTCTTCCTAGAGGACAGTCAAACCTGCATACACCACAATTAGAGTAGTATGATTGGGTAACAACTGATTAAACTGGATGCGGTCCCTCAGCAACATTTTTGATTGTAGAAAAAAGATGCCTCAGAAGGCATGAAACACAGAAATTACAATTTATTTTTTGTTTCTTTTAAATTATAAAATTTTCATAATGCTAGCCAAAGCGAGCACTTGAAAGACCTGCCCATATGGCATTTCTATCCACTTGTTTTCAAATTCTAAACAGATGTCAGGTAGGAAAATTGCCTATATAGTTGCTTTTTAATAGAGAGTGTGCAGGAGGGGACAACTATAATTTCTTCAAAAAAAAAAAATGAAAAAGCTTCAATCAATAGGCAGATACCAAATAATAGCATTAGGCTTCTATCCTAACATACATTTAAGAAACATTCTTACATTTACTACAAAGCAGTAACTCTTTTAAACTACAAAGTTACTCTTACCTTCATTCTCATAAAAATGTTTCAAAAATTTTAAAAAGCCATACCCCTTATATTCACAGTAAAAGTTTGTAAACACATTAAAAGCATAAACACAGTATAAGTTTTCTATAATATGTAATTAATCTCTAATTGCAAAAACTTGAGTCAATAAAAGGTTAAAAAGTGATAAATTTATAAGGTCACCTTAAGTAACAAACTTATAAGGCCACTGAAAATACCTAGAAATAACCAGATACCTGCTCTCTATCACCCAAGGCAGACACTCTCATAAAATGTCTTGTCTCTGATAATATCATCAAGGCATACTCAGCCAAAGAAAGTGTTGGCATTTCTAATTCCCAAGCTCAAACTGAATTAATGTTGTATCCCATGACAATGGCAAATTTTACCTGGAATTCTTAGCATAAACTATATTTTTGTTATCCTCCAAGCAATGTGCTTCATTTTAAGATGTACACAATGCAGAAAATTCATTCATTTACCTACAGTTCATTTTTAATAGAGTTTTTTTTAACATAGGATGGAGGAGGTCAAATCATTTCTCACTTCAAACTCATAACTTTTTCTGTAGGTAGCCATTGACAAAATTTTTTGCACTTACCTATCAGCATCTTTATCTTCGGGCAGCATGGGAGGCAAAGGTAACGGTGGTAACGTAGAGGTCACTAAAGCCACATGTTGTTCCTTCTCCTTGGCTCCTATGCTTGGTGTAAGTGGTTTGGTTTTCTCTTTAAGAGATACTGGTTCCTCTTTTGTAGCAGCAGATTTACTCTCCTTTCCAACTACAACTGCTTTCTTGGTAGCTTTATCTACAATCAAATTATTGTCCACCTTTGTTACCTGAAGAGGTGGCTTTGTCTTTGCCTTGTCATTTTTTAAAGTTCCACCGCTTGAGGGAGAAGGTGCATGCTCAGTTTTAAGTTTCTTCACATCCTTCACGTGGTTGGTCTGTGACGCACTGGCACCAGTTTCTGTGTTCCCCTTGGTAGGAGTGGAAGTGTTTGAAGCTTTGGCAGCTTTGGCAGCAGCCTCGGCAGCCTTAGCTGCTTCTGCAGCTTTCGCTGCCTCTGCAGCTCTTGCTGCCTCTGCAGCTCGTGCTTTTTTATTCTTGTTCAATTCAGCTGCCAGGCTACTCTTCAGAGTTAGTGTGCTAGGAGAAATGCTAGAATGACGACTTCTGGATCTAGACAGTCTGTGCCTGCTACGAGATCTTGAATGCCTAGATGAATATGGGCTTCTGCTTCGAGATTTGGCAGACCGTCTAGTGGAAAACAATTAAGATTTAGTCAGTAATTCAAGAAAGTTCAGTTTGAAATGTACAAAAACTGTTAACTTGAGTCTGTGAAACAAAACAGAAATTATTTAATTTCAAAATCATAAATACAGTTCTTATAGGATGATTTCTAAAAAACAAAAAGTGCTTTTCAGTATAGTACAAGCTATACGTTCCCTGAAAATAGCGTTATTGCTTGATTTTCGTCTGGCCTACGAATGCTCAAAGATGAGACTGGATGAAAGTAGATCTCTGTGAGAAGAAATACTGTTAAGAATCAGGAGGAAAAACTATGACAATGTATCACTGCCTCTCAAGAAAATATAAGTAGGCAACAAGGATACACCAATGGTAGAAGCAGTAGGGTGAAGTCTGAACCATTTTTTTTACCAGGGAGACAATGTCTGTATCTCAAAAGCACCCCTATCCATAAATTCAGGAGTAAGAAATGCTTTGTCTACACCAAGAGTGAAAAAGATGAAACCTACCATTAGGCAGTAAGTTTAAAAAAAAAGAGTCTTTAAATCTTGGGAACTACTTAATAATGACTGTGCTACTCACTTGTCAAAAATCACTGGAAAACACAAAACCGAACATATATTCAAACGTATGGTGGCAACCAAAGTTTCTACAGAACAAATGCAGCAAAGCACCAAGTGAAATGAAGCTGAGCTTTTCAAATCCACACCTTATCAAAACTTTAAACAAATACAAGACAAAGGCACTATTGTAGTACTTTGACACGTTTAACATGGCTCATTTAATCCCCATATCAACACCAGTGAAGTATCTACACTTTATAGATAAGAAATCTAATCTAAACCATTACCTGAAGTCACTCCCAAACTCGTTAGTAGTTGTATTGGCTATTATCTTACTGCCACGACCCTATCCCTCCAATGGTCTTCTGTCCTACTCTGTGCCCAAGGAAGCTGACCTCAACAAATACGTCTTCTGGGTTCCAGTGCTGTCCATCACTGGCAGATCAAAAGGCAGAGAAAGGCTAGCTTATTTCCTCCCAGCTCCCTCCTTCCTCTAGGCCACATCTCATGACAGCTGTGTCCCTCTTCCACCACTGCTTCTGTCAGGCACCTCCTCCACATCTCTCACCAGGTTCTAAGGACGCTATATTTTCCTTGCCCCTTCTAGCTTCCCTCTACAACTAGTAAACACATCCCCTGTTGGTTCCGTCAATCCACCCCTATCTCTGTGGTCCTCCATTAAAATCTCTGGAACCATCTGAGTTGGATTCAGTCTCCTTCTAGAATCCTGCCTGATTTAAACTGTATGCCAAGTCTTAAACCCAGATCTTTTCATTCTAAAGTAGGCAGAGTAACATTCAAAACACTACCATGAAGATAACTCTTACTGAAATTTTGTAAAAGTTATGGGGAGAGGGTAAATGAAGCAAAGAAACTCCTAGGAATCCATAATTAAAGTAGCAAGTGAGAAGGAAGAACTGGAAATTTTTGTTTGCATCTGGCATTATTATGTAATATATACAAATATTATGCAATACATTCTACAATTCTAGTACGACAACAAAATGATGATTAGGTTTACGACAAACTCAACTACAAATTTGACTTCTCCATCATTCTCTCAGAAATATTTCAGGATGTACCTAGGGCCAACAATGTTTAGCACTGAGCTAATGTTTCATACAAACTCCATACTATACATAAAGCACTTATGTAACATTATTTTAGATTAATGGGAACACTGGTTTGGAAAACATTCTAATCTAACCTTGCCTATCATTAAATAATTCATAAATACCAATCATTAAAAGAAAGCTTACAATCTTTCATGGAAAATGAGAGCTCTTTGGCTAAATATAAAGTAATATGTTGGTTGTAAAATATCTTAGGTAATTTTAATATAGGTACCAAAAGTATCATAATATGAAACACTTTGCCACACTTTTAATTTCCTCTCCCTTTAAACTCCTGGAACTCAAAACAAGAGCACTTACTCTGTCATGTTTCAATCCCCTGATCAGATACTAATGAGCAGCAGCAAGGTACATAGCCACAGAAAGCGAACAGACTGTCATCTCACCACAGGTAATAGCACAGAACTTTTCTTAAACCAACTTTCCTACACGAGCATGATTCTCGTCATCAGTCTCATATAGACATACAAATTATATTTAACTAAGAAATTTATGATCAGTAAACCTTACTTAAGAAAACAAAGATAAAATCCCAACACAGTTAACTCTTCTTACAGAACTCTTACAGAATCTGGATAAGGAAGTTATCAGTAAAGAGAAAATATTTTTTATCTATAAAAAGGATATTCCACAAATGACATTTTTATGGTATTTGATCTCTATACCAACTGAATTCTTCTAGACACACACTTCATTCTTCTCTAATTCTTCTATCTCTCTTCAAAAGTTCCTCAACTTTTAAAATTTCATGTCCCAGTTAACTTGTATTCTTTCAGATACTGCATATTTGCTAATCAATTTCAATTATATATTTACCATTTCTAACAGACATATTTTGGGAATCTAAAATTAAGTAAAAATACAAACTTCACATTTAGGTCATTTTTACTAATGACCTAATACTTCAGCCATACAAAGTTATGAGGGTAAGAAAGAAGTGGATCTCTAAGACTGTAAAATGAATTACATCATGTCTTACTAAAAGAACTGAAATGGATCGTAGGTAGCAAGTCCTTGTTTTATATGTAAGATTTTTCTTTTTAAAAATGTTTTTTCTAATATTTCTATACTGTAGAATCTACAGTGAACATACATTACCTGTTTCTCGTTTGTTTTTATTGTTTGTAAGAGGTTATAGGTATATAGAGGTATATAACTTGTTTGTAACAAACTTTATTGTTTGTATAGAGGTTATAGCTTTAAGAAGTTAGAAGACCTTTTTACGTTTCTAAGGTTTCACAAATTCATATAACACAAAAAAGAATCAGGATAAAAACTGAGTATCTAAAACTCAACTGGTTAGTTCTCACTGCCAATTAGGTTGGTGTTCCTTAGAGAGGCAGCACGGTGTACTGTTCACTAGACTGTATCACACAATCTCTCCGAGTCCAGGTCCTCTGAAATTGTGCCTAATTAGCAAACACTGACTCTTAAAATTTTAACTATAATAATATCCAATCTCCCATTATATAAAATAATACAGAACAGCAGTACCCAGCAGAACTTTCTGGGATGGTAGAAATATCCTATACATGTGACGTCTCATAGAGTAGCCACTATTCACAATATTTTTTAGCCTAATGTTTTCACCCTGCTTATTTCATACGCTAGTAGCAGCTATGTACATTTCAAAAACTTGTTGCTAACCCCCCCAAAAAAGGTATGAAAATGATTCCGATGCATGGATGGTCCAACATATGCAAATCAATAAATGTAATAAACCACATTAACAAAACGAAGGATAAAAACCATATGGTTATCTTAATAGATGCAGAAAAAGCACCTGGCAAAATTCAACATGACAAAAACTAAACAAACTGGGCACAGGAGGAACATACCTCAACACAATACAGGCCATATATGACAAGCAAACAGCTAACATTATACTCAACAACGAAAAGCTGAAAGCTTTTCCTCTAAGATCAGGAATAAAATAACTAAGCCAATGATGCCCATTCTCACCACTTTTATCCAACAGAGTATTGGAAGTCCTAGCCAGAGCAATCAGGCAAGAAAAAGAAATAAAAGGCATAAAAATCAGAAAGGAAAAAGTAAAATTTTCTTTGTTTGCAGATGACATGATCTTACAGACAGAAAAACCCTTAAAGAGTCCACCAAACACCTGTTGGAATAAACAAATTCACTGAAGCTGTAGGACACAAAAATCGGCATTAAAAATTAGTTGTGTTTCTTAACTAACAACAAACTACTGGAAAGAGAAAGTAATAAAACAATTCCATGTATAACAGTATCAAAAAGAATACGGCACTCAGGAACAAATTTAACCAAGGAGGTAAAAGAAACTGAAAAAGCCAAATAAATGGAAAGATATTCCGTGCTCATGGACTGAAAGAATTGTTTAAATATCCATACTACCCAGCCAGAGCAATCTTGAAAAATAAGAACAGAGCTAAAGGCATCAACTTTCTGATTTCAAACTATATTACAAAGGTACAGTAATCAAAACAATATGGTACTGGAATAAAAACAGAGACACAGGTCAATGGAACAGAATGGAGAACCCAGAAATAAACCTAGGTATAAATGGCCAATTAATTTTCTACAAAGGAGCCAAGAATCTACAGTGGGGAAAGAATAATTTCTTCAATAAATGGTACTGAGAAAACTAGAAAGCCATATGCAAAAAAATGAAACTGGACTCCTATTTTATACCATATACAAAAATCAATTTGAAATGGCTTGAAGACTTTAACACAAGATCTGAAACCGTAAAACTCCTAGAAGAAAAAATACAGGGTAAGCTCCTTGATACTGGTCTTGGTAATGATTCATCAAAAGCAAAAACAAGTAGGACTACATCAAACTAAAAAAATGCATGCACCGCAAAGGAAACTATCAACAAAACAAAAAGGCAACCTACAGAATGGGAGAAAATATTTTTGATAAGAGGTTAATATCCAAAATATACAAGGAACTCATACAACTCAAATAGCAAAAAAACAAATAACCCAATTAAAAAATGGTCAAAGGACTCGAATAGACTTTTTGCAAGGAAGACATCCAAATGGCTAACAAGTATCTGAAAAGGTGCTCAATATCACTAAGCATCAGGTCAATGCAATTCAAAAACACAATGAGATAGCACCACACACCTGCTAGAATGTCTATTATCAGAAAGACAATAGATAACAAATGCTGGTGAGGATGCAGAGAAAGGGGAACCCTTGTACACTGTTGATAAGAATGTACACTGACACAGCCACCATAGAAAACCATATGGGAGTTCCTCCAGAAGTCAAAAATAGAACTGCCAGCAGTCTCACTTCTGGGTATACATCCAGAAGAAATGAAA